CCTGGAGTGGCACTGTAGGATAAACACTGGACTGCTACCCTCAAGGTCAATGGTTCAAGCCCACTAGTGACTCCTCAGAAACCCTATACAGGGCTGCTGTGAGTTGCAATGGATTCAATGACACTTAATAATAGCAGGAAACATTTTGTTCAGTGATGTGGGTTACACTGTCATCATGTTAGACATGTATTGATTCACATTGTTTCAGAATTCTCATTATTTCCTTTCTGGTTGTTGTGTTTCCATTAATTTTGTTAACCCGTCCTTTCCTGTTACCTTCTCATCTTTGCTATGTCGTTGTTGTTAAGTGCCGTTGTCGAGTTGGATTAGGTAAACGTTAAATATTTGGTTTCATATAGGTGATTATTTAAAGGAGCAGAGCACTCAAAGATGATATTGTTTATAAATAATCTGTTATTTGGCTGAAAGGTAACTTCTGGGAATGGCTTTAGTTCTAAGTTTAAAGGGGATCTCAGAAGGGTAAGTCTCAAGGATGGAGGGAGTGAAGGACCAGCTCACAGGACTCCTGGCCAGGTGGCTGGAGTGGTCTATACTGCGTGGAATGGCTGTCTGGGGAGGACTGTATGTCTTTGGACAGGGGTTGAAGGTATATTGAGCCTTTAGGAGAGGTGGCTGAGTGGGGGTCCCTAGGGAAGGCAGGGTCTGTGATCTTCAGGTAAGGTGAGTAGATAGGGGACAGTGGGAAGTTTTGGGGAGTGCTGGATCGATGTGGAGGAGTTGAGTGCGGAGATCTCTAGGGAAATCTGGGGTGAGCCTCCTTGAGCCCTGGCTAGGGATCAGTGGCTAGGAATCGCTGGGTAGACTGGGGAAGCCCTTGATGCTCTATAACATCTTAGTCCCTCATCATGTTGTTGGTCATGAAGTGGAACAGCAGCAGCATTACTGTCAGGGACATTGGTGACAGACCCATGAAATGACAGCAGGTGCTGTACTGTCTGGCCAGAGAGTACAGTCACCAAGCAAGTGTTAAAGCCCAGATGTCTCTCTCACCCACCTCCTGGTTCAACCTCCTGAGGGGCCTGGAGGGGTTCAGCAGGGCTGGAGTCTGGACCCATGGAATGTCCCTCCTGACCTTGGTGTTCTTGACAATGGGATGGATACACAGGTTTGTGCTGGATCCAGGAGGGAGAACCCATTGGGCCTGGGATATCGGAGAATGGGGAGTTGAGGAGAATCTCAGAGAAGATTCTGAGAAGCGCATACATAGTATTGGCCCAGCACAGAGCAAGCCCACGAAACGGATGCTGTTGACATGGCTGCTGGTACTTTATTACACCAGTTTCTGCCTGGGCGCTAACCTGGTGAATTACACAGTAGTTGGAGGAAGAGTTGTGACTAAATTTAACGTCAAACAGGAAAAGTGTACCACTCTTGACTCTCCAGATCCCATTTGAAATCACCTTTCTCCGCATTGCCATGCCCAGTCCATATTGGGGAAACCGAGGGGGCATACACAAGACCACTCAGTGGGTCTGTGATAACTGCTGATTACATCCGCCCAAGCTCTTTTTGCCGAAGTTCACTCCGTTTGATCTTGCCAGTGATGGTTTTGGGCAGCTCTGGGACAAACTCCACCTGGACAAGGAGAGAGCAGATCTGTCGTGACTCGGTCCTGCTGTCTTCCCCCCACTTCCCGCTGTCTTCCTTGTCCCTGCACAGACCCCAGACAGGATGATGCTGTGTGGTGGCCCTCCTCCTCCTGACTCCCTGAAGGTGGATGTGGCCACGTGATGTGCTTTGACCACTGAACTATGAGTGGAGCTGAATTGCGTCATCTCTAGGTGGCAGAGTGTGGAACCATTGAGATGGGATAGTGGCCACCGTATCCTCACATCGACCACAGTACCTGGCAGGTGTCTCTATGGTGGCTGCCCCTGTATCTTGGTACCAGGGTGAGGAGGTGTGGAACAGAGTCCACAGAAGACCAGGGTAATAGACCCTCATCCATAGAAGCCCTAACGTAGCCCACCCAGTGCATGCACCATCTGTTCTGTCCTCCCTGAGGCAGCATTGCTGTGGGGGTTAGTTGCCATGGAGTCCGCTCTGACTCATGATAGCCCCGTGGACAAGAAGGAAATGCTGCCCAGCACTGGGCCGTCCGTCTTCAGGACCATGAGTCTGCCTGAGCCCATTGTGGCAGTCACTGTGTATCTTGAGGGGCTTCCAACCTCGGGGGCTCATCTCCCCACACTTTGTGAGAAAGTACTCTCTTGTAATCCTTAGGGTTTTTACTGCTTACATTTGGGAAGTGGATCGCTAGGTCTTTGTTCCTATCCTGCTGTAATCCGGGAGCTCCACTGAAATCTCTCCACCTTGCGTGGCCCTGCTGGGGTCTACAACACTGGTCACTGCTGGGGTCTACAACACTGGTCTGCCAGTTTGCTGGGTTGTGGTGACTTGGGTGTTGTTAGGGTGCTGGAAGCTGTTAGGCACACCACAGCATGAACTTCGCTGTCAGACACTGGAAGGTTTTAAGTTCCAGCTCTGTCTTTTATTGGCTGTAACTTCAGGCCATTTACTTTGTCTGTGTCTTAGTTTCCTCTATGAAAAATGGGATAGCTATACCATATCAAAGGAGCTCTGGTAGCGTAGTGGTTACGAATTGGGCTGCTAACTTCAGAGTCAGCAGTTTGAAACTACCAGCTGTTCCACAGGAGAAAGATGAGGTTTTCTGCTCCTGTAAAGATTTACAGTCTCAGAAATCCTGTACAGGGTTGCTACGAGTCGACTCCACAGCACATACCATATCAGGCTGTGGTAAGAATTAAATGAAATATTACATGTAGAGAATTTACTAAATGGCCTGGCATACATGTTAGCCATATGTTGTTGTTAGGTGTTGTCGAGTTGGTTTAGACTCACAGGGACCCAATGTATAGCAGAACAAAACACTGCCTGGTCCTGTGCCCTCCTAACAGTTGTGGTTGTGATTGAGTCCATTGTTGTCACTGTGCAATCCATCTCGCTGGGGGGTCTTCCTCTTTTTCGCTGACCCTCCACTTTACCAAGCATGATGTTCTTCTCCAGGGACTGGGCCTACCTGAAAACATGTCCAAAGTATGAGAGAGAGAACCTCCTCATTATCACTTTTAAGGAGTGATTCAGCTGTCCTTCCTCCAAAACAGATTTGTTCATTCTAGCAGTCCATGGTATATTCAGAATTCTTCACCAGCACCATAATTCACCTGCATCGATTCATCTATGGTTTTTCTTATTCGCTGTCCAGTTTTCTCAGGCCTATGAGGTGACTGAAAATGGTGTGGCTTGGGTCAGGCACACCTTAGTCCTCAAAGTGACACCTTTGCTCTTGAACACTTTAATGATGTCTTCTGCTGCAGCTTTGCCTAATGCAATACATCATTTGATTTCTTGACTGATGCTTCCGTGAGGGTTAATTGTGGATCCAACGAAAAGAAAATATTTGACAACTTCAATCTTTTCTGTTTATCATAATGTTATTTATTGGTCCCGTTGTGAGAATTTTCATTTTCTTTTCATTCCAATGCAATCCATACTGAAGGCTGTGGTTTCTGATCTTCATCTATAAGTACTTCAAGTCTTCTCTGCTTCCAGCAAGCAAGGTTGTATCATTTGTGTGTCGCAGGTTGCTGATGAGTCTTCCTCCAATCTTGTTGCCACATTCTTCCTCCTGTAATCCAGTTTTCCAGATTATTTGTTCGGCATACAGAATGGATAAGACTGTTGAAAGGATGATGCACATCTCTTCTTATTTTAAAACATACAGTGTCCCTTGTTCTGTTCTAAGGACTACCTCTTGGTCTATGTACAGGTACCTCATAACAACAGTTAGGTGTTCTGGGAGTCCCATTCTTCCCAATGTCATCAATAGTTTGTCCATTGCCATTGCATAGTCACTAGAGCACAAATAAACATCTTTCTGGTGTTCTCTGCTTTCAACCAAGATCTCTCTGATTTCAGCAATGATATCATTGGTTCCACATCCTCTTCTAAATCCAGCTGGGGTTTATGACAGCTCCACACTGATGTACTTCTGCAACCATTTTTGAAATGATCTTCCACTAAATTTTACTTGTGTGTGTGTGTGATGTTAGTGATATTGTTTGTTGATTTCCGTGTCCCATTGAGTCAATTTTCTCTTGCGTTGTGGCCCATTAGTGAGTTGTAAGAGGAACTTTGTAGGTTGCAAGCAGTCTTTTTAAACAATGAAGTAGTATAAAAAATATTGAATGTGTTGCAGATTATAAGAATGAATATTTTATTAACTTCTGTATGTTGCGTGAATGTATTACACTGTAACACAAAATGTATTTCTTACTATGAATCATACCAGAAAAAGTTTGGAAGCTGCTGCTTTGGATTTCTATTTTGAATTTTGCAGGATAGTAAATGGCTTTTGGACATTTGTCTGATCTTTTTCTTTCGGTTAACTTGCCCAGAGGTGGGTACCTTGTAGATTTCTGATTTAGGGGAGAGAGGTTTTCATCCAATGAAATCTCTCCACCCCATCCTTAAATCGAATTGTTTCTTCTGCAGTGGAGAAAGCTAGGGCTGTTGGTTACCTAAGCTTAGCACCGGCCACCCTGGAGGACTTGGGAGAGCTGAGCACCAGAACCGGCCACGAGGCCCAGACCGCATCCACTCTCCACACTCACCTTCCTCGGGTACTTGTACGGGGCCGTCACTGTCTTCACGTGCTGCTGCAGCTCCTTGGTGAGCTGGTCCTGGTCATGGGACAGGAATTTCGGGTCCAGGACGATAAACGCCTTTACCACCTGTTCACGGGAGTGAAGTCATGGTGAATGCCAACAGTGTTACCCGACCCCAAGCCCAGAGTGGATTCCAACCCACAGTGACCCCACGGGACAGGATAGAACCGTGCTACAGGATTTCCAGGGTTCTACGGAAGCAGGCTGCCACCTCTGATCCCATACAGCAGCTGGTGGGTTTGAACTGCTGACCTTTTGCTTAGCAGCCAATAGCTTAACCATCACATCACCAAAAATGTCATGTTTGTTGAATGAAGGAAAAGTTGATAAGAACATGGTGACTTTGGAAAAGGAAAGGGTCAAGTTCAAATCCCATTACTTCCAATTCCATTCTATGTCCTTGGGAAATTGTTTAATTCTCTTCTGTTTCCTTCTGTATGAAATGGAGACAAGAAAAGTTGATTCCAATTGGGCATCTGTAATGATTCCAACTGATTTGTCATGTGAAACATCTGGCTAGTTTTAATTTGCTCTTACATTATTATTACGAATAGTAGTTATATCATTACTCTTGTTTTATGTACAGTACCTGCATGGGACTTGTGAGTAACAAATGTTGGTAATTGATGATGATTGATTATATTCCCAATTGATGTGCTCAATACTTAATAAGGAGTTCTGGGAGCTTAGTGAGTTACGAGTTGGGCTGCTAACCGCAAGTTCAGCAATTCTATCTGCCAGCTGCTCTGCAGGAAAAAGATGAGGCTTGCTGCTCCCACAGATATTTACAGCCTCGGAAACCCTATGCAGGGTTGCTGTGAGTTGGGACTGACTCCACGGCCCAGAACCAGCACCACCATCAGTACCTAATGGGTTTCAGCGAATTCTTTGGAATTAAGGTGTAAGTGCTGTGGAGTCAGGCTGTTTGGATTACTATTCTGGCTCTGTCATTTATTACTGAGTGATTCAGACAAGTGACTTCTTTACTCCTGTTTCCTCATCTACAAAAAAAAAAACTGAAACCCATCGTCTTCGAGTCAGTCCTTAGTCATGGCAACACCAAACGCTATAGAGCAGGACCGCTCTACAGGCTTTGTTTGGATGTCATCTTTATGGGAGGAGTCCTGGGGTGGCGCTGTGGGCTAATGCGTCAGACTGCAAAGTCACTTGAACTGCAAGATCGGTGGTT